ATTGATGTTTCTATCTCTCTCTCCCTCTCCCTTCCCCCCTAAAATATATATATATATATATATATATATATATATATATATATATTTAAAAAGACATTTGGATAAATCAGCTCTGCGTTCCATTTCCACTCTGCTGTAACTTCTCTGCAATATCTAAGTAGGAACAGATTAGAAATCTGTCACTTGGCTCTTTTGTTCACCTGGTAACTGATCCCTTCACTAGTAGATTCAGGAGCCCACTCCCTCTCCCACCCCCAGACTTGCATGTTGGGGGTGCTCTGCTCTGCCGCTAATCGGCTATGACTGTCTTCCCTCGGCAACTCTGTAGATGAGAATGATTCTCGCATACAGCGAACACCCGGTGTGCTAGCCACTGTGTGAATGAGTGCAATCCTCACTGCAACTCTAAGAAGCAGGTGATTGTCTTCATCGCACAGATGAGAGAACGGAGACCCTGAGCAACTGAATAACTGCCTCTGGGGGATCACGAAGCTGGCAAGTGGGGGAGCCAGATCGAAGCCCTGGCCACCTGGCCCCAGAAACAGTGCTCTCAGCCATCATGCTGTGGCTTAGAGCGGCTTCTTGATTTGCCCAAGGCTCACGTAGACCATGCTTCTTTTTTGCACATTTTTATTGATTTCAGAGAGGAAGGGAGAGGGAGAGAGAGATAGAAACATCAATGATGAGAGAGAATCATTGATCGGCTGCCTCCTGCATGCCCCCTACTGGGGATCGAGCCCGCAACCCAGGCATGTGCCCTTGACTGGAATTGAACCAGGGACCCTTCAGTCCACAGGCCAGTGCTCTATCCACTGAGCAAAACTGGCTGGGGCTAGACCACGCTTTTTGATGTCCCAGTTTACTCACCCTGCAATGTGGCTCATGACCGCCTCCTGGGCTTGCTGTGGGATGTAAGATGTGAAGCCTGCCCCCATCACGTCAGATTGATGGTTTCCCATAGTCTGCTTGGGGTCTCTTCAGGGCTCTTGTCCCCCCAAGTCCCCTCCCCCAATCCTGGCAGAGACCCAGTGTGTGTGTGTTGGCAGGGATCAGGGGGGTGTCTATGACAACAAGGGGCTTATCAGACTCCCTAAGCTACAGCTGCTATGACTGGGGACAGAGGACAGTTAAGATAAGCTCAGAGCTAGGAAGTGGCCATGAAAACTGGCCAGGGCTGGAGTGCTGTGTGCGGGAGGAGGGAGCAGCCTGACTTGGCAGAGAGGAGAAAGGGCCCTTAAACTGCTATCAGAGATGTTTTTTTAAACGCCAGACAAGGGGATTCTGAGAGATGGGAGGCGGGGTGGGTGGATATTTGTGTAGATTTAGTCTAGGGCTTCGGGTCAGTGGTTTTGAAAGGATCTCCTCATCTCATTGTTAATGGCAAAACCAAAAGGTCTTTGTCTTTTTCTGGCCCTCACTCCCGTGTCCAGTCCTGGTCTCTGAGGTGTGGACCTCGTGCTGTGGGGAGGGAAGTGGAGGGACCTTGCTCACGACTGGGGTAAAGGTTTCATGGCTCATCCACTGGGCACCAGGAGTCGCCACGTACTTTCCACTGACTAACCCTGTTGTATGATTGCTGGAAGTCATCTGGGATCCTTGATGGACTGAGATGGGGTATAAATAAATATAAATAAAGACAACCCTTCATCTTTATGGGGGGGTCAACACTTTCACATCCACTATTTTATTGATCCTCCACTAACCCTATGAAGTGGGGCCTTGGGTCAGACCCTGCGATACAGGATCTGTTGATATGGATGAGGCAGGGGGTACATGAGTCTCAGAGTAGAAGTCAGAGGGCGGGGTTCTACATCTAGTCTGCCCCTTGCTGGCCACATGATGGGGGCAGATGTCCTTAGGTCCTCAGTGATCAAAGGGGTCCCTGCACGGGGGGGCTCTCTGTAAACTGTTAAAGGCTCCCTCCCAGCAGCCTAGGGGTTATGGTGGTGGCTACTGGGCTCAGGGCTCAGGACTCCATACTCCCTTGAAGGGGCTGAGTGTCTTCTTCCTCCGGGCTCTGCCTCCACAGCGGCCAGCGAGGACAGGGCAGGGCAGGGCATGGGCTGTGTGCCCAGGAGGGAGGGAGGGAGGTCTGCCCAGTGCCGCCTCCCTGCCCCGTGCCTGGCTCCCACTGGCAATCTGAGCCCTTGGCCTCCCACGCTGGTCAGGGCCTGGAAATCCCAAGCAAAGCACATTCCTCAGCCAGGTCCCCAGCTCCTGGCCGTGTTAAGCGAAGAAGGCGGGAGGCAGCGTTTCTCTTGGCCCTGATCACAGATGGGTGCTGGGGGCTGTAGCCTGGATGAATAGGGCTGGCTGCCCCCCGCCCCCACCACAGTGTATAAAAAGTCCAATCTTGACCTATGGCACTCCTGTCAGAGCCCGCAGCAAAGAGAGAGGGCAGCCCATCCCTAAGCAGGAGGTTTGAAATACCGCTGATTCCTGGGCCCGATCCTGTGCCAGCCACGGGCTGTAGATGGGCCTGGGGGTTACTCCAATGTCCCATGTGGATGAAGTCTAGACTCCTTAAGGCCCAGGTTGATGTGCCCGCCTGCACTGCCAACCCCGTCTCCTTAGACTCTCCAAGTGGTGCTGTCCCCCCAGTAAATCAAACCCTTTTCCCCAGTGGGTTTGTGAACCCCTTTACCTCTCCTTCAACAACAAAAATAACAATGGAGCTACCCACCCAATGTAAGTGAATTATTTTATGTGAAGTAGGGGGCTCGTAACCTCATAGCGAGGCCTTCTTCTGCCCAGTTGACAAATAAGGAAACTGAGACTCAGAGAGGTTAACAACATCCCAAGATCAATTAGCACAAGACAGGCATGATTCAACCCATCCCTCTTGCTTCAAAGCCTGGGACCCTCCTCCTCTGCCTGGCTGGTCTCCCTCTTCTTTCAGAGTGCACTTTGAGATCTGTTTTCTGGAACCCTGCCCTGACATCCACAGTTTGGCTGGGCTCTCTGTAGCCACCACGGGTGAGTCGCTTCTGGGCTGTGCTAGCAAAGGCTGACAGCGATCTCATCTCATTAAACAGTAACTGCAGATTTCGTCCCATCTGCCTCTCCAGACTGCAACTGCCGGGCGGCAGGAACCTGGAACCGGGTACTGAGCCAGGCACAGGATAGGCGTCCAGGGTTAAACAAAGCAGTGGACTAGCCAATGGAATGGGACAGCTAGAAGGGAACTTTCCTTGGATATTAGCGCAGGACTGTTCTATGCTCAGTTCATGTTACCCCTTCCCAGTCTTTCCTTGTAATCCTCATCCGAATTCCTTGGGACAGAAAGTCTTTGTCCTTCGAGGTTTGACATTTGGGACCTGAAGCTAGGATAGCGCAGTTGATGTTCTCGATTTTCCTGGGTGCTATTTCATTGGAGGCAATGCAGTGTGGTCATAAGTTTTAGAATCAGACCTTGTTCAGTCACTTACCAGCTTGTGACCTTGGACAAGGTACAGAACCTCTCTGAGCCTTAGTTTTCTGATCCACAAGATGGGACCATCCTACCTGCCTCATAGAGTGGATCTGAGGAGGAAGCAGGGCTCCGCCACCTTGTGCGATGGCATCATAGTGGCTCTCATTTTGTAGATTGGGGTGTGAAGGCAAGAAAGGGGTGGGAACTTCCCAGAGTAGATGGTGACAGGAAAGCCTGTTGGAGGTGGGGAGGAGTCAGGCCTGGAGCCATACCATCCAACCCTAGATCCTGAGCTGCCTCCATGGCACCGTGAGGTATGGCCATGAGGTTTGCCACTGCATGTTTCCTACTTCCCTGGCACCCCCAAGTCTTCCTATAATGGACCTCCACGAGGTGAGTCCTCAGAAGATACCAGCGTTGGCCCTGGGTGGCCCTCACAGTGGCTAATCCCCCATTCTCATAACGGAAAGAACCTTTTAGGGTTGGCTGTATCCCTAAGGTTTCGACCGTCTTAACACACCTCAGTCCCATCCACGGATCTGGTACCATTTTGTGCACATGGAAAGCTCCATACACCCCACCCACACACATGCTAGGCTTGGCTTCCTCTAGGAAAGAGTGTGGGGAACCCCTTTCTTGGGGAGGGTGGCGAGGACAGTGCAGAAATGGAAGTGGCCTGGGGAGACCAAACCAGGGCTTCCCTTAATGTGCTCTTCCACCCTCAGTACCTGCAGCTCCTTAGCCCCATTTTCTAACAGTTCTTTCAGGGGGCTGAGCTGAAATAGGGGTGTCCAGGATCAATAGAAAAGGCCTCTCTGCAGTCGGCTCACCAGGGGGCACCCGTGGCTACAGGATGCCTCTAGCTGGGCGGGAAGGCGAGGCAGGGCCAGCAGGTGGCAGTACCCTTCTAGGGACCATGTAAGGACAAAGGCCAGGTGCCAGAGGAGAAAAGGCCCAGCTCTGCAAGTCCCCGGTTCCACTTGTGCCGCTCAGCAGAGTCCCTGCCTCTGGGAGGTGACGCCCAGAGTCCCTGCCCCAGATCAGGGCAGACAGGCAGGCGTTGGCCCTCTGTTCCTGCCTCATGAGAAACAAGCGAACATCGGAACATCGCGTGGTGTTCTCTGGCTCCCCCGCAGCCCCACAGGAGCAGGTCTTTTTTCATGTCTGTATCCCTGGTGCCAGCACAGCTTTTAAAAATCCCTGGGAATCAGAAAGAGGTGCTCTACCAGCTAAAAGGAGGCATGTTCTTCAAGTTTGGGGCCAGACAGAAATGAGCTGAAGCTAAATGCATGGGGGCTGGATGTGAGGAGCAGCCTGAAGCCGTCAGTTACTGAAGGCAACCTTTTCTCAACCCATCCGTGGAGTCTCCATTCTTTTGAAAAGGAAGCTAGGGTGTTTCACTAGAGGTGAGGTGCCCGGGTGGGGGAGTGCTGGCTTGACAGCGTAACCCCTTCAGAGGGCACAGCCAGGAATAGGTGGCCCCTGGGGACCCTCTTTAGCCTGAGAAGGTCAGAGGGACTGTTTCATGGGCCCCCCTCTAACCATCAAGACACCAGTCCACCCCACCCCGGTACCAAGATGCCAGGGAAGATAGGAATATAGATTTTAATCATTGTGCTGCTGCAGATAACTGGAGTGCAATTAATCCATCCTTTGTGGATTTTGGTGCCACAGTGTAAATGAGGTTTCACACGGAAACACTCTGGGGCTATTGGCGACAGAAGGGCCAGGCCTCTGGTGGGGAGGGGTGGCAGAAGGAGAAACAGTGAGGAGAGGAGCGGGGAGCAGAGGCTGGGCAGAGTCGGCTCCTTCCCCAGCATCACATTCCCATCGAGGACCCTGGAGAGGCCCAGGTCCTTCCTGGCCAAGGCTGCCAACAGGGATCAGTCCATGACTTTCCTTCCAACTCAGCTGCCTCTAAGGCCAATTCTTGCTGCGAAGATGAGGTCCAGGGCAGGCTCACAGTTGATCACCAAATGGGGAAGGGATGTAGGCCAAGGGAGAGAAGAGGCATTTGGGTGTCCCCAACCCTCCTCCATTTTCCATCCTAAGAGCCCCTCAAACTCGTTGAGAGCTGGGAAAGACAGCGGCGGCAGCTCATCCTCTGGAGATGGGGAGAGATGGGACTCAGAGAGGGGCAGGTAGCGGATACTGCTGTACATTTCTCTGCCTGAGCAGGAAGTGAGGACTCTCCCCCGAGGTCTGCTGAGCTCCAACCAGGGGCTGGAGGTCATTGGGACTCCCTAGAGTTTCCTAGGATGTGGTAGGATTAGGAGGTGGAGGGAGGTCATTTAAGCCCCAGAGTCTGGCCCCACTGGCATCTGGGAAGTAGCCCAAACTGCTTTGACAAGAGCACTCCTCTTGTCAAGAGTCAGGTGATCCGGTCCAGGGCAAAGGTGCTGGGCCCAGGATAACTAGGAGTCAGAGACACACAGGGCTTCTACCGCGTCACTCAGACCCTGGTTGACGCCCCCCACAGCCAGGAGGCAGTTCTTGACGACAATGCTGGAGCAGGCACAGCGGGGCGTGGGCATGGCTGGGAGCACCTCCCACTTGTTCTTCCCTGGGTGGAACGCCTCTGCCGTCTCCAGGACAGTGGGTTGGTTCCCTGAAAGGGAACCGGAACTTACAAGGGAGTCCAGCCACCCATCCATGCCTTGCAGTCATCCCACCTCCCTCGTCGGCCAAGCAGCCTCAACTTCCTAAACCTCCCCTCCCTACCCCGGGCTAGTAGCTTTGGTCAAACATCCACTTTGCCCTCCCTACTTTCCATCTTTTCATGTCTTCATGAGTAAGCTTTCTTTCCCCGATCTCCCGCTTTTACCAGAAGTTTCTAGACACTGTTACCTCCCTGCCTTGTACGCAAAGCAGCCCACGTGGTCTAGCTCTCACTGTGCTCCTTTTATGAGGCAGTGAACTGGAGTCTGTCCACGCTGAGTGAACGCTGGCTGCCTGGAAGCCCGCTGCCCATATATCTCTCTCCCCTGTTGCTGCTGGGGTTCTGCCTCTGGGAGGGAGGGTAATACAGCGCGTCCTGAATTCATCGCACTAACACGTGTGATCAAATTGCTTCCTATTCCATGATGGAGCTGGGAATCCAGGGAGAAGATGTGGTCAGAGAGGACCAAGGCCAATCCCCGCCACACTCCTGCCTCTGTCATTCCTGGCCAGGGCCCCCAGGGGTCTGTGCTGAGCACCCCTGTTACATGGTCATCAGTATGTTGCTGATGCTCTCTGGCCTCCGGGTCCCTTGTGTAAGGGGACAGAAAGACTACATCAGGGCCCACATGCGGACACATGCAGTCCAGGCTAGGAGAAAGGAGTGTTGTGAATTCTTAGGAATAAAGCAGAGGCGGGCGGAGTGCAAGGAACCAGCTCCTTTTCCTGCTCCCGCAGAGTGCCAACGATCCACCAAGCACCGGAACCACAATACCAGCCTGATGCCTCATCCTTACCAAGTCCTCCGGCCACTATGACCCGCCCACTCAGAGAGCCAGCCACAAAGTCTGCTCGGCGCTTCTTGAGGGAGAAGGAGCGTTCCATCTTCAGCCACCCCCCTGCAGGCCATGGGAGAATACAGAGAGAATTAGATGTGACCCCAGCACCCCAAATACACATTGAGTCCCAAACAGCCCTCACCCTAGGCAGTGTCTCCACTCCACTTACACAACGCCTCCAGCTGTTTGAATGACATTCTCCGTGGCTAACACCCTCTCCAAGTCTGCTGCGGTGCTAGGAACTATGATCCCCTACAACAAACTACCTGTTCTACCTCTGATCTCAACAGGCTCTAAGCTGGGAAAAAAGCTAAGGAGAGGCAGTGAGCATAGGGGTCAGGATCCTTCTGATTCTCTATGATGATTCCCGTGGCCCTGCCTGGATGTTGTAAGAAGAGACAATGGGTGGAAAAGGCTTTGATAAAAATAAAACCAACCCACCAAAGGGAGCTCAGTACAGATGAAAGAATTTGGTCTAAGAGAATCCCTGAGTGGAAAGGGATGTTAAGACGTCTGAAAGGCTCACCCAGCTGGGTAAGTGGCCCTAGGAGTATGGGTGGGAGAGAGGTATGGGCGGGCGGGAGGGGGGGGGGACCAGCCAGAGGCAGATGGTACCCAGCTCACCCTGTTCCATGTCAAACATGTCCATAGTCCGGAGGAACTTGGGCTGCCGGTAGAGCCGGCCCTGCCGCAGGCCTCCCAGGCTGTACAAGCGGTCGTCCAGGGTCACGAAGCTGGAGAAGGCCCGTTTACAGGGAATGTTGGGGAACTTGGTCCAGGAGCGAGTCTCAATGTCAAAGACCTCGAAGGCGTTGACTGCATACTTGGACTGTCGTCCTCCTGGAGACCAGAGCCGGGTGGGGGTGGGCAGAGGAGTAAGTCCCCGAGGACTGGCCTGGGCTCCCCTTTCTGCCTGTTACCTAGTCATAGAGGAGCTCCCTGAGGGTCGGGGCAGCATGCTTTCCCCCTCGGGACAAGGAGATGCTCAACACACAGCACTGCTTCCCGTGGGAACAGACCGGAGGGAGGGAAGGAAGGACTGATGTGGGACAGACAACCCGTCCTTACCCAGCACATAGATCTTGGAGCCTCTAAGGAAGGAGGTGGCCGCGTATCGTGGGGTGGGCATGGGTGCTAGCGACACCCACATGTCCTTGAGCATGTCATAGTGTTGAAGGTGGTTGTGCGGACGAAGGTCCAGGCCCATCCCACCTGCCGCGTACACTCGGTAATCTAAGGAGAAAGGCCACATGCAACCCCTGGCTCAGCTCACAGACACCATGAGCTGTGCTCATCACCTATCACAGCCAGGCTCTGGTAACTCCCTGAACACCAGCAATGAAGCCAGGCCCCGGTTCCCACCCACTGCTCTGGCAGATTGAGACACACACACACACACACACACACACACACACACACACACACAGTAGGTTGACGCAACACTGAAAAGGTCCTGCTGTAGTTGAGCCTGGGTCTTCCTGAAGCCATGCCAGGTCTGCATGCCTTAGCTACCTTGTGTCCAGCCATTAGCTAAGCCCGAAACACCAGGCCTCACGTAGGAGCAGCCTGCGGTGGAGTCTAGACCTGGACAATCCTCTGCAGGTCTGGTCCCCTCCATTCTCCTTCCTGGGCAGCCAGAGGGGCTGGGAAGAGGAGGGACGTGGCCCTGATACCCCCCAGAAGTGGCCTGGCCCAGGCGCTCTGAGACTGGAACTCTCTGCAACTAGCAGGAGCCTTTGGGAATGAGGTCAGCCCTGCTGCCATTGGCCTTGTGGGACACTGGACTGCCGCTGGTTCTCTCATTTTCTGCCACCCCCATGGGGTCTGCAGAGCCATTGCACTACCCCCTCCCCTCCCCGCTATCCTCCTTCACAAACTGGGAAGCTAGTGGGCTCCAAGAGGCACTGCATGGAATGGGCTGGGGCTAGGGGTGTATGAGGGCGAGGCTCGGAGGAGAGAAAACTAGCCCCTTCAAGAAGCTGCCTGGCAGTGAGCTGAATGCTCTCCCTCATGCTCTACTGCTCTGGGCTGCAGGTGCCTTTTCCAGGCGCTTCTCTGCCACTGTACCGGAGAGGATGGGCAAGGCATCCATGTGTCCCTGGGCCTCACCCCAGTACCTCCTGCAGCCTGTCAGGGGCACAGCCCCCCACAGGGCTCTCTATTTCCCTGGAGCCCACTCCCACCTCTGAGTAGTCAGTCCTCACCACCTCTGGCTCTCAGAGGCCTTTGTTCTTCAAGGGTATTTCAGGGATGAGTACTATTTCCTTCTACTTTCTAATCCTACTGGGGGAAAAAAACCAACCAAACCAAACAAAAACCCCAACCCTAGCCTGAGGCTAGGAGGTGGAGCCTGCTAATGAATTTACCTTATATAAGCTCCACCTCCCCCAGCCCTGTGCCGCCCAAAACACACTTGCAGTTGGGAATCCTCCAGTCCCTCCACTCATTCCTTCACACTCACCTGGGGTCCCTGAACACCCAGGATGGGCTGAGAGCACCTGCTCAGTGCTTGCATGACACCTGCATCGCTCTAGGCACCGCACGTTACTGAAATGATCTTTGTCTATTTCTTCCAATAGATTGTAGGTCCTTGAGAATTCGTTAACCTGTGACCCCAGCATCAGGGACAATGCCTGGCATGCAGGCATATAAATGCTTATTAAATTAACTGATGAACCCATTCAGTGCCGCAGTTAAGAGCATAGACTCCATCGTCACTTACTGTGCAACCTTGACAAGTTTTTTAACCCTCTGGGCCTCCCATTGCTTCTCTCTAAAACGAGGATAATAATTGCACTTACCTCATCAGACTGATCAGAGGATCAAAGATGTTAATATATATAAAACACCTATGGTAAGGATTCGATAAATGTTAGTTCTTAATCTTTTAGCGCCATATATTGAGGCTTGGGGATAAGGTTGGGCCTCTTTGCCTTCCATCTTCTTATTGGGAGTTTGTGGAGGCTCCATTGTGCCCTGAAGGGTTCTGGGCTAGAGTTTCTCTCTGGTCACCTTCATTGGTCAGACCTGGGTTCCTGAAGGCAGAGACCAGACCTGCATCTTTCTCTCCCCGCTGGGACCTAGACCTGTGGCAGGGACAGAGCGGTGTTCGGGCGATACTGGTGCCTACTCTACAGTAGACCCAGCAGGCAGCTGGATGATTTGCCAGAGAGGGAGGGAAGCTTGCATCCCACTAAGTCTGTCTGGATTTGGACTATCCTAATTCCTATTGGGCCATTTCCCATAAAACTCTTTATGTTTTAACAAGAGGAACTCTTGGAGCTCCCTCTATGTTCTGGGCTGTTCCAAGCCAGAAGCGAAGGGAAGTAGGGGCTTGGAGAAAATGAAATGAGAATCATAAAACCACATGGTCAGCACACCCATGCCCCGAGAACTCAAGGTGGGTGAGATGCTGCAGGAGCACAACCCTTATCCGTATCTCAGAGATTAGGAGACGGAGGGAGAGCCTGAGGGTGGGGAGAGGGCCCTGAAATCAGGCCCCAAAGCCCCCTCAGTGGAGCCTGGTGTTGGGGCAATGATGGTGTGAACACCCCCAGGACCTCAGATATGTGTCTGGAGGTGGTGGCAGGTGCAAGGCAGTTTCAGGGGATGGTGTTGTGTATGGTCGGCTGGAGGGTGGGGCTGAGAGAAGGGGTGTGCAGAGCTATTGCACTACCCTCCTCCCCTCCCCTCCGGCCTAGGGAGGAGCCAGGTGGAGTGGAGATGTGGCATCATGTGGGATAATTAGACCCTTCACTCACTGAGTCTCAGTTTTGCCATCTGTAAAATACAGCCACTGGGTCTCTAGTTTTAGTGCCTACTGTAAGGATCACACGGGATCAGGAATGTGACAGCGCTGCTCCCACCCCTTTCCTTCCCTGTGGTCTCCCCATCCCTTCTCTCCGCCCACCCTCGGCCCCTGCCCCACTTGCCTTTGGCCGTGACAGAAATGCCCATGGCGGCCTCGCGCAGCACGCTCCTCTTCTTCCACTTGCCCTCGTCGATGTGGTACATCTCCACCACCTTCAGGGGCAGCTGGTTGGTGCCCACCCCCCCAATCACCATGATCCTCTTCCCCAGGGCGATGACGGCCATCCCGGCCCGGGCTGTGGGCAGGGGGGGCAGGGCCGTCCACTGGTCGGCCTCGGGGGAGTAGACCTCAAAGCAGTCCCTGGGGACGCCGTTGTCGTCACAGCCCCCGATGGCATAGACCTGCCCCCCAGTCTCCAGCAGGGAGCAGTAGACGCGGCGGCTGGGCAGCGGCGCCAGGCGCTTCCACTGGAAGTCCTTGACGTTGGGCACCTCCATGGCAGCCCCGCGGGCCCCTGCCGCCGCACCCCCAGCCGCGGAACGCCAGGGTCCGGACGAAGGTGCGAATCCGGGGTTAGGAGGGAAGGGGGGGGGGGGGACGCCGGCTACTCCGCGTCCCTTCTCCCCGCCTCCATCCCACTCGCTTGCGCCGGTTCCCGCCCGACCCCCGCCAGGGCCCCGACGCCGGCCAGCGCTTCACCGTCCCTCAACACTCAGCATCCCGTGCGTCCACGCTGGGCCCTGGGGGAGGAACGCGGCGAGTCAAGGGCGGTCGTGCCACGGGCCCTCGCCTCCCGTTGCCGGCGACGGCGGGGCCGCGGGGCGGGCTCCCAGCCATTCACCAACTTTAAAGGGAGGTCGCCGCGGCCCAGAGCGCCACCCCGTGGCGGCATCACGCCCTGTAACTCTTTGTCCTCCACCCCTCCGTGCCGGCTGATTGGAAACCTGCGGGGTCGCGAGGGCGCAGGGGCGCGGAGAGCGCGGGGGACGCGGGGCGTGCGGGGTGGGGTGGGGCGGGGCTTTCTCGGGTTCGGGGTGCCTGGCTGCCTCCCCGTAAGCAAAGGGTTAACACCTTTCGGTATTCACGCCCCCACCACTACCCTTCTCCCCCTCCCGCCGTCTCCCGCCCCCGCGCCACTTACCCAGCCCGGCGGAGCCGCGCGGCGCGAGGCGCAAACAGCGCATCACCGAGAGCCGAGAGCCCCCGCCCGGCGGCGCTGGGAGCCAGGGACGGGCGCTCCGTCCTTCCCGAGTTCGCACCCCGCTGTCAGGCAGGCAGAGGAGGAGAATAAATGAACAGCAGGAAGGAGAAGGGCCGCCGCGGGGGAGGAGGCCGGCCGGCTCCCCGCACTCCCACCGGCAGCCGCCGTCACACCTGTGCGGGAACCCGCGTGCGCCCCGCGGTGGAGCAGCTGTGACCTCTTTACATAAGCCCTGGCAGCGCCGGCCGCGGGGGAGGGAAGGGGCCCGGCGGAGACGCTGGTCTTGTCTACAGGATCGGGAATAGCGGGATGCTAGACCCAAGGGCCCAGATGACGGGGCCCAGACTCCCCCCAGTGCGGGGGTGGGCGGTTTGTATGTGTTTGTTTTGGATGAGGAGGCGGAGAGTCCAATTACCCAGTTTATCTACAATACACAGACCCAATTCGCGACAGGCTGGCTCCAGAGCCAGCTTTGCTTTGGGGGAGCTATTATCAAGTGGTTTAACCTAATGGAAACAAGTGATGTGGGTGTGACCTACGCAGAGCTGACACAGGTGCATCCAAGTAACGTATCCACCACGCAGAACTTACACATCCCCCCCACCCGCCCCCTGCAAATAGAGATACCCACGGAGGAACTGACAAATGCACGGATATGTGGACACAACTAGAGACACCACCGTAGATACACTCATAGGCTGTCTCTCCCCACCCCCTTGGGAAGGGGAAACACGGTTATCCAATCTTGGCCCTCAGCACCAACCCACAGGGCTTGCCAAATATTCCTTTGAAACCACTCTCTAATAGCTTTTCCAGGACAGTTGTCCCCAGGAACAAAGCTGCCCATGACAACAGTGGCCACCTGGTCTGATGGACTGCAGGGCCCATGGGGTGCTCATCTGACTTGAATGCAGCCAAGTCTTGAAACACTGAGGCTTGGGAGTCTGACAGACCTGTGTTTGAATTCTGGCTCTGAAATTATTTAATGACTCTGAGCCTCAGTGTCCTTCTATTATTTTAATTCGCCTTTTTATTTTGAGATAAATTGTAGATTCACATGCAGTTGTAAGAAATAACACCCCTTCACCCAGTTTCCCTCCATAGTAACATCTTGCAAAACTTATTGTGCAACATCACAGCCAGGGTATGGAAATGGATCAGTGAAGACACAGGACCTTTCCATCACCACAGGGATTCTGCATGTTGCCTTCTTATGGCCACACCTACCTCTCTCCCATCCCCTGGCCTCCACTAATCTGTTCCCCATAATTTTGTCATTTCAAAAATGTTATATAAATAGATATGTAACCTTTTTGGATTGGCTTTTCCTCCCCCAGCAGAATTCTGTGGAGATTCATTCAAGCTGTTGCCTGTTCCAATAGTTCATTCCTTTTTATTTCTGAGTAGCATCCCATGGAATGGATACATCCTTGTAGGGTTTTGTGACGATTAAATGAGATAATATTGGTAAAGTGTTCAGTTCATTCAGCTTCTGAGACAAAGCAAGGGCCTGGTACATCGCTATTAATATCATTATTACTACAATTACACTCAACAGAACCAATAAAAAGGAAACCTGAGGACAAGCCCAAACACCCCACCCCTTACTTAGAAATGACTTCCTGTGAGAAACGGGTCACACTCCCAATAGGCCAGTGGTTCTCAACCTTCTGGCCCTTTAAATACAGTTCCTCAGGTTGTGACCCAACCATAAAATTATTTTCATTGCTACTTCATCACTGTAATGTTGCTACTGTTATGAATCGTAATGTAAATATCTGATATGCAGGATGGTCTTAGATGACCCCTGTGAAAGGGTCATTTGACTGCCAAAGGGGTCGAGACCCACAGGTTGAGAACCGCTGCTCTATGACGACCATGGATTTAGGGACTCAGATCCTTGGGAAATACTAAGAACAGGACGCCTTCCAGGCTGTGGTATCACTGCTTGTTCCGGAAGTCCTGGCTTCTCTCCATCTTCCCCACACCTTCCCCCATGGCTCTTCCTCCCGCCAGGTGCCAGGTGACGTCCTTTAGTCTTTACATTGAGTGCACTTTGAGGAAGCCTGTAACCTAGCAACCATTACTTAAGATTCCCTGCATCACCTGGTCTCCATGCCACGGCTGCTTGCAGCAAACTGGGGTTTTAAGTAGTGCCAAGCAGAGGCGGGGATCCAGTGACCCACCACCCCATTCTAGGGTGTAACCGCTTTTCCTGTGAGGAGTTTCTTCCTCATGTTAAACCCACATCCTTCTGCTCTGAGACCTTGTGTTGCTTTGGGCCTGGGTTTCTCTCTTCTCTTAAAGAGTGTTTGACTTTTTGCCTTGGTTACACTGGGAGGGGAGGGAAGTGGGAAGGAGTGTTTGTGAGTCTCCAGAGATAAAGCCTTTGGTACCTTAGAGTCTTTATTGTTGTGATGCTAATGAATCAGTCAAACTTGCTGAGTGTGGCCTGGTAGGTTGCATGTTTGAGCCTGATCCGGGCCCAATCGGGAATTAACCAATGAATGCATAAATGAGTGGAACAACAAATTTATTTTTCTCTCTCCATTCCTCTCTCACTAAAAAATCAATTTAAAAAATCTTGTTGAGAGGTGCTCAGCCTCAGAAAAAGTCACATCTGGGTTGTTTTTGTTTGTTTTAATATATTTTTATTGATTTCAGAGAGGAAGGGGGAAGGGGAGGGAATGATACAAACATCAATGCTGAGTGAGAATCATTGATCGGCTGCCTCCTGCACCCACTACTGGGGATGGAGCCTCCAACCTGAGCATGTGCCCTGACCTGAATTGAACTGTGATCTCTTGGTTCATAGGTCGATGCCCAACCATCCAGCCACACCGGGCGGCCACATCTGGGGTTTAATCAGGTCTAACATGCAATAAAATGCATACTTTGGCTCATTGAGTATTATATTCAGCAGGGGCCTGACTTCCCTGACCTCTGGTAGGTTTGGGGGAAGCTGAGGGTGGAGGGAAGAGGAAGGGCAGTTTCTTCACCGTAAACCAGGCAGATTCCCATGGCAAACCATGGCTGGAGTCACTCACTGTGTGCAGGGCTTGAAGGGACTGGTGAAGTCCCCAGTGTAGGCACAGTGGGGATGGGGTGGGGAAAGAGGAGTTATTTGGCTCCTGCACAGCTCCTTCTCCCTCCTCAGAGATACTGACCTACCATCCTGTCGGTGGGCACCACCAGAGCACCCCTGTGGGGTACCACGCTGCCTGGCAGAACCCGCCTGGAGCTCCCAACGCTGGGTCCCCTCCTCTCCGTCATTCCCTCTCTGCAGTGCCCCACAGATCCCGGGGGAGAGGGGAAGTTGTGTGGACTCCGGAATCAGGGAGACTGGGCTTGACTCCTGGCCCAGCCACCCCCTAGCTGTGTGACCGTGAATAAGTCACTATCCCCTGTGGATAAGAAGGAAACCTAGTTTCTGGAGTTGCGGGAGGAACGAGACTCCGAGCACAGTTCCTGAGCAGACACCAGGTACTCTGTCCAGGTCTTCTTTCCTTGGAACTGCTGACAGTCTGTATTCAGGCCCGTGTGCCCGAACAGCAGGTGCCAATGTCACAAGGCAGGCACCGCACCAGGGCCCACCCCCTCCCCGTGGCAGGCATTTCTGGAGCCTCTGAGTTGGACAGAATATTTTTTCCTCCTAGAAAAAAATATTTTCCTCTGCAGCTTGATGACATTCTAATCTGGAGAGCGGCTGGTGCCCTTCCTTTAGATAATCGCCTCCTACTCCCTGCCAGAAGCTCGGCTGGGTTCCGGGGGTGGGAAGTGAGATGACTCACCCAGTGGGACTCAGGCTGCTCCGGATCAAAGGGAGGGGAAATTCCCCCCAACTTGGGAGAGTCCCTTCAAGCCTTCCCCGGCCCCATCCCAACCTCAGCCCAGAAGAAGGATTTAGGGATCCAGGAGACTTGATTGGAGATGGTGTGGCGCAGGTGCCAGCAGTCAGAACCATAATCTGCAATTGTTCACATGACACTGGGGTGAGCTATTCACGTGGGGTCCTTCGAAATGGCCTCAGACATTGGGGCTCCCCCTGAGGACCACACAGCCTGGAGGAGAGTTGAGTTGGCCACGTGTCTTCAACTACCTGCCTGCTCCCTCCCCCTCGGCATAGCTTTTTGCCTGGAGAGACTTAACGGGTATCAGAAGAGGAATGCATCTGTCCACTTGCGAGCAACTTCCTGCCTACTTTGGTAGAATTGGGACACTGGAAAGTGGATCTCAGGGTATGGGATGGTGGGGTGGGGAGCAAAGCCATCTTGGTTTTCAGATTCAGGAGTTGCATGATTTAGGGAAGAAAGTTC